AAACTGGCTTCCACTTGACTAAACAATAAAGGTCTTAACGTTTAAAGTAAACTGGCTTCCACTTGACTAAACAATAAAGGTCTTAACGTTTAAAGTAAGCTGGCTTCCACTTGACTAAACAATAAAGGTCTTAACGTTTAAAGTAAACTGGCTTCCACTTGACTAAACAATAAAGGTTTTAACGATTAAAGTAAGCTGGCTTCCACTTGACTGAACAATAATGGTGTTAACGTTTAAAGTAAGCTGGCTTCCACTTGACTAAACAATAATGGTTTTAACGTTTAAAGTAAGCTGGCTTCCACTTGACTAAATAATAAAGGTCTTAACGTTTAAAGTAAACTGGCTTCCACTTGACTGAACAATAAAGGTTTTAACGTTTAAAGTAAGCTGGCTTCCACTTAACTAAATAATAATGGTGTTAACGTTTAAAGTAAACTGGCTTCCACTTGACTAAACAATAAAGGTTTTAACGTTTAAAGTAAGCTGGCTTCCACTTAACTAAACAATAAAGGTTTTAACGTTTAAAGTAAACTGGCTTCCACTTAACTGAACAATAAAGGTTTTAACGTTTAAAGTAAGCTGGCTTACACTTGACTAAACAATAATGGGTTTAACGTTTAAAGTAAGCTGGCTTACACTTGACTGAACAATAAAGGTCTTAACGTTTAAAGTAAGCTGGCTTTCACTTAACTGAACAATAAAGGTTTTAACATTTAAAGTAAGCTGGCTTCCACTTGACTAAATAATAATGGTGTTAACGTTTAAAGTAAGCTGGCTTACACTTGACTGAACAATAAAGGTCTTAACGTTTAAAGTAAGCTGGCTTTCACTTAACTGAACAATGAAGGTTTTAACGTTTAAAGTAAGCTGGCTTCCACTTGACTAAACAATAATGGTCTTAACGTTTAAAGTAAGCTGGCTTACACTTGACTAAACAATAAATGGTGTTAATTTGGTATCTTCATTTTCAAACTGAACGGAACCTTACGCGACTCATGAGCTAAACGGCCAGGTGGCCACAAGATTTAGCCATAGGCTTTCCAAATTTAAACCAGATGACCAGAAAGAAATCAACCAATCATCAGCACAGTTACTCTTAACCGATCAGTGGGAGTGGCTGTCACTTTTATAATGCTCAAAGCTGAAAGAGTGAAGAGTGTTCAACTATGTATCATGGGCTCGAGCCTTGGACCTACTGTTCGCAGCCCAGCAGAATAGCCATGGTACGGAGTATTGATTAGGATGTTTAATTATTTTATCATTATACTTTTATGGTATAGGTTTTTTATTAGCTTAATATATGTATTTTGTACTAACCTAAATGTCTTAAGCTGGCCGAGATCATATTCGGATTAAGGCCGAAAATATCGTAAACAGCTAGAATAGTACCAACTCATGAAATAATGCATTCTAATCTTTATAAACAAGAAATGTACATTTACAAATTACTAACACCGAGTTGAATCTTGGTGTAGCTCTGATCGGAAGTTAATATCATTTACAGCCAAGTCTAAGAGTAAAGACAATTAAATTAGTGTGAATTAAGATATTGAACAGGTTTCTCAATAAAATACGACACCCAGTTTGTGTCCAGTAGACTCCTAGTGAGATATTCAGTAATACAAATGTTAATATTTTCTTTGTTCCTGTTAATTTCGTTAAAGAGCATTTAGGAGAGCGAATATTGTTGACGAAATCAGAGGTGACTGAAGAAACGGGTATATTATAATAGGCCTAATACTAACGTCGTATGGCAGGTGTAATTAATATGATCAGGACAATAAACCAATAGCGGCATTCCTTTCTTCCAGCTCCACCTGTTGTTGAGCTTACAGGAAAAACAGTCGCTTTGTTGAGTAAAATTCTCTTCTCCCAGCCTAACCTGCACATTATACTATTTTTATTTTTTCCATTGTTCTGATATTCTGTTGCTATGCATTTCCTAAGGCGCATTCGTTCGTATCCTTTAATATATAATGCCTACGTATATCGTTGTTATGGTTACCATGACACTTCCCAGCCACAGGTGTTCCTGTTATACGCTATCAAATGTAGGTCCGAGATCTTGCACTTTGTTATTTGTCTTGACTGAAAGAGAGATGAGCAGATGAAAAACAAAATATTTGACGAAATGCTATGTAATATGATAGTTGAAGAAAGGTCGAAATATTCGAAACGCAGGGGTTTTGGTATTAAACGAAAAGCTTATTTGGCAGAGACTTGTGAGAGATAAAGATAGATCTGAAATGTGCTATTTTTTACACGCCGGTGATTTAGAGCCACAAGGACAAACTGAAAGGAAAGTTAAAAAACAACTATCTGCTATTAACTTATCTTAATAACAATTTTCGACCTCCTGGTTTATCAGCTTTCACCGTTTAAACCGCAGTTTTTGAAGTACTACTGAACAATTTTGGAGGAGAGCGTACTTTTAGCGAATGTCATTTTCCGTTGTATTCTGCTTTTCTATCACATTAGTTACCATTTAGGTTCATCCCAGCCACCCACTTTCTATCACATTAGTTACCATTTAGGTTCATCCCAACCACCCACTTTCTATTACAATAGTTACCATTTAGGTTCATCCCAACCACCCACTTTCTATTACAATAGTTACCATTTAGGTTCATCACAGCCACCCACTTTCTATCACATTAGTTACCATTTAGGTTCATCCCAGCCACCCACTTTCTATCACATTAG